TTATATAATAATTAACAGCTACAAAAAAAAAGAAAAAATTATTTATTATTATTATTAGAATCGTAAATATTGTAATAAATTATGACTAAACGAAACGATTTTTTTTGTAATAATTTAACGTGTTACCTTTTTTTAATAAGTTTTCAAAAAAAAAATAAAAAAAATTATATAATAATAACGTATTTTATCAATTTGTCGCAAAAAAAAAATAAATAAATAAAACGTGCTCATTGTTATATATATATATTATTGTTAGGTTGTAGGTTAAGTAAATAAATAAATAAATAAATTACAATAAAATTGTAAAAATGAATGTTTTTTTTTTTTTTTGAAATGGGAAAAAAAATGCAAGGATATTTATTTATTTATCTACACACGTGTTTTATATATGTACATAAAAATTTTGTTTATATTTGAAAAAAAAAAAAAAAAATTACCAAATGTAATAAAATTTAAAATTTTATAGTAAATTAAAAAATTAAATTTTAATTTAATTTAATCTTCGACACATTTAATGGATTTGCAAATTATTTTTGCATAATTTAAATAATTACGTTATAAATAAATCATAAAAAAAAAAATGAAAAACACGTTATTAAAGGTTAATTTTTATATAAAAATTAATTAATTCATCAAAAAGAAAACATTTAAAAGGTTTCTGTTTAAATAGAAAAAAATACAAATAAATAGGTTGAAAAAAAAAAAAGAGAAAATGGGTGAGGCTTGTAAAAAAAAAAAAAAACATTGATCATGATCTTATGTTAATTTTTTTTTTTTTTTTTTTTTTAATAAAAGAAAAAATTCTGGTTTTTCATCATTTTCATGAGATGAATTTTTTTTTTTTTTTATACCTGGGGATAAATAAAAAAAAAATTTCCCAACAATGTTTTTTTTTTTTTTTTTTTTTTTTAAAAAATGTTTACTCGTTAAATAAATTTTATTTTATTTTTTTTTTGCGCAATTTTTTTTTGCGATTTTGTGTAGGTTAATTTATTATTTACATTTATATAATTTAATTAAGTAATTTTTATATTATGTAATTTTTTTTTATTTTTATTTTATATGTAAATAAGTTTGACTCTCATATCTGTGTGTATATACAAGTTGAGAAAGAGGTGAGAGAAAGAGAGAGAAATAGGGGGAGAAAGGGAAAGAGTGAGTGAGTGAGAAAAAGAAAAAAAACAAATCGGTCCGGAGTCTGCGCTGTGTCAGGTGTTTATTGATTAAACTCAACCACGTTTCGCATTAACTGAATCGAATACATACACACATATATTTTTTTATTATTTTTTTTTCTCATTTCGTTTTAAATAATTTAATTAATAAATAGTTATTAAAAATAATAATAATAAAAGTAAAACGTGGGCAAAAATTAAATTTTTCACAAAAGTTTTTTTTTTTTTTGTAATTAATATATTATTAATATTTTTATAAATTAACCGTTGTTTGCATCGGTATTATTATTATTTTTTTTTTCTTTCTTCCTACTTTTTATTATTATTATTATTTTGTTATTTACATTATGGATTCGATTGTTAAAAATTAATTAATTTTCATTATTAAAATTAATAATAATAATAATTATTATGTCTGATAAAAGTGATAAGGAAAAAATAAGTTTTTTTAAAACTTCGAGCACCAGAAAATTGAATAGAGGGAAAGTAATTAGCGTCATACCAAAACATCGGTAAGTTTAATATAACATTAAAAAATTTTTTTTTTCTTTTCTTTTTTTTTTTTTTGTTATTATTTATTTGTTTACGAATTTTATTTTTGTTTTCCTTTTTTCCTTTTTCTTTTTTTTAAAAAAATCATAAATTATTTTATTATTTTCCGAAACTAAAAAAAAAAAAAAATTTTTGTGAAAAGTGAAATTAGGTTTACCATACTGATCCGGGTTCGTTTACCTGATCATTATTATCATTGATTTCACACATTTTTAACGGATTTTTTTTTTTTTAATTATTTAATTTAAAATGTTTTTTCGCTTTGTTTGAATTAGTTATTTTTGTGTAAATTTTATATTTAAATATTTTTTTAAATAAATATTTCATTTAAGTAAGTTTATTTTTAATTATTATTATTTTCATGGGCGTGATCACAATTTGAGTTTTTTTTTTTTTTTGTTTTCAATCTCTCTCTCATATTATTTATATATATTTGTTTTTTAATTTTAATTTTAGTGAAAAATTATTAAAATGGAATGGATGGGGGTACAAAGATTCGAAATTTATTTTGAAGGAGGATGAAGAAATTATTTCATTTACCGGTAATCGGTATCCTATTGGAAATTCTGATCTTCCATATTTTTTGGATTGGGTTAAATCAAAATTTAATTTATCTGTTGAAACATTAGAAAAAAGTAAAAATTTGGCAAAACCAATGCCAAAACCAGAGGATTTTCCAGTGCCTATAACAGATAATGGTAATTAATTTCACATGCAATGCATTTTTATACATTTTGAATTTATTAAAACAACACTTTTCGAGATTAAAAAAAAAATTTTTTTTTTCTTATTTGAATATTTTTGTTGGTCAGTCACTAATAAGTAAATAATCCTACATAATAATTCTTGTCATAATCATTTTTTGTAAAATAAATATTTGCTTTTTAATCATGTATTATGATGTAATGTAATCACTTAAAAAGGTGTCATTATCATTATTAATAAATCAAACTTTCAGTTGTAGTCGTCTATTGACATTTTCAATTTCAGTTTATTTTTGATAAGTGCATTTTTGAATGAATTTTTTTTCATTGTATGTTTTACTTGTTTTCACAATGATTTAATAATAATTGTTTACATTATTTTTCATTTATTTGCAGAATTCATGGCCAAATTAGAAGAAAAAAATATTTCATATTCGATAGATGGGCTGGATCGATTAGTTAGATCTCATGGTCATGCTCTTCATGATATTATTCATTTAAGGGAATTAAATTTTAAAAAGCAAAGAGTTCCTGATTTGGTTGTATGGCCTGAATCTCATGATGATGTTGTTTTTATTGTTAATGAAGCACATCTTAGAAATATTGTTTTGATTCCTTTCGGTGGGGGCACAAGTGTTTCATGGGCTGTTTTATGTCCTAAAGCAGAAAAAAGAATGTTTGTGTCTTTGGATACTTCCCAAATGGTGAGAATAACTTTTAAAAAACATTTTATTAATTTTGACATAATAATAATTTTTTTTTTTAATTCATCACAGAATAGTTTATTATGGCTAGATGAAGGAAACTTAGTCGCTTGTTTTGAAGCCGGTATTGTAGGACAAGATTTAGAAAATATTCTAAGAGCTAGGGGATACACTAGTGGACACGAACCTGATTCATATGAATTTTCTAGGTTGGTAAACAATCATTTTGCAAAGGTTTATTTTATTTTTTATTATTATTTATTGCAAGAAGCATTTTTAAAAGTGAATTTTGGGTTTTACAGTTTAGGAGGTTGGGTAGCAACCAGAGCTTCTGGTATGAAAAAAAATACTTATGGTAATATCGAAGACTTATTAGTGTCTGTTAAAATGGTGACACCAAATGGAATTCTTCAAAAAAATAGTCAAGTACCCCGAATGTCTTGTGGTCCTGATTTTAATCATGTAATACTGGGTTCTGAGGGTAAATCTTTTCTAAATAGTTTTCTTTTGTAGTTGTTACTCAATTTTCGATTAATTTTTAACAATTTTTTTAAAACTGTTATTAAAAGGTACTCTTGGTGTTATTACCGAAGTGTCAATAAAAATTCGACCACTTCCCAAATATAGAAAATATGGTTCGATCGTTTTTCCGGATTTCGAATCAGGATTCAAAGCCGTTCGAGAAGTAGCCAGACACCGTTATCAGCCTTCATCCATTCGTTTAATGGACAATGAACAATTTAAATTTGGCCAATCGTTACGTCCTACCTCAAATTATTTCGGTGTAATTTTAGATGGTATAAAAAAAACATATATAACCACGATAAAAAAATTTGATGTGAATAAAATGTGTGTTACAACATTGTTATTCGAAGGTGATTATAATTTATTAAATTTATTATTTTGAGGAATTGAGATGTCAAACAGAAAACTGAGATTTATTTTCAAAAACAGGTAATGCAAAAGAAATTGAAATACAAGAGAAAAGAATTTACGAGATTGCAAAAACGTTTGGTGGAATTCCAGCCGGTGAAAAAAATGGACAACGAGGATATACTTTGACTTTTGTTATTGCTTACATTCGAGATTTTGCCTTAGATTTTAAAATATTTGCCGAATCTTTTGAAACTTCCGTTCCATGGGACAGAGCACTTGCTCTTTGTAATAATGTAAAATTTAGGTAATTTTTTTTAAAAATTTGTATCATGAAACCCGTTCGAATAAAAAGTACTTTAAAAACAAAAAAATTATTAATTTTTTATTTAGAGTTACCAAAGAATGCGAAAAACATGGAATTAAATATTTTTTAATATCCGCTCGTGTGACGCAAAGCTACGATTCGGGATGTTGCATTTATTTTTATTTCGGTTTTAACGGAGCGGAAATTGAAAATCCGTTAAAATCTTACGAGGAAATCGAAGAAGCGGCAAGAGATGAAATTTTAGCCGTCGGAGGTTCCATTTCTCATCATCACGGTGTTGGAAAACTCAGGTCGAGATGGTATCCTCAACAGGTATCAAAACTCGGGGTCGAATTGTTTAAATTGACAAAAGCTCAATTAGATCCTAAAAATATTTTTGCCAATGGAAATTTAATTAATCTTCACAGTAATTTGTAGCTTGTCTAATTATTTTGTATCGTCAATAATCTTTTATTATTTAAACATTTGTAAAATGTCGGTTGTATATCTAATTATTACCAGTAATATTTTATATACTTTTAAACGTATACTTAAATATGTATCATAAATAAGTTAATTAACAACCTTATAATCATTTAAAAAAAAAAAAAAAAATTTGTTTAACTCGGTCAATCATTTGTCTTGAAACAAACACACAGTGAAATATAATTAATAATAATAATAATAATAATTTATTATCATTTTTTAATTACTAACTAATAATAATTAAATAATTTTATTACTTGAGTTTTTAATCGGGGGAAAAAAATTATAATTTAAATGTAATAAATGAAATTTTATAATAATAATTTTTTACCGACGAATTATTTCATTAATAATTGTTTCGTTTATTATTATTATTATTTTGCTATTGTAGACATTTTAACTTATTTAAATTATTAGGATTGTGTACTCTCTCTCTCTCTCTTATAAAAATAATTATTAAAATTTAAAAAAATAAAACAAAAAATATATAATCACAATTATACGAAAAATTTTGTAACCAAAAAAAAAAAAAACAAAAAAATTATTATTATGAAATCCTTTTTTTATTAACTTATTTATTTTTTAATGAGTAGTACAATTATAATAATTAAAATGAAGTTTAAAGATAAGATAAGAGATTTTTTAATAATTACAAAAATTTATTCAAAATGGTGGACACCTCTAGAATAATTTAAAACAAAACAATTATTTTTTAACAAATTTTTAATTTAAATCAAAGTTTATTATTATTTGTAAATAATTTTTTTTTTTTAATCTCTGATAATTAAGAAATATTATTATTATTATTTAGGTAATATTAATAATAATTTTAACCAAGATTAACAACTCATTTTTTAAATTAATTCTTGTTTAAACTCCGCCTATAAAAAAAAAAAATTTTTATGTACAAATACCAGTTATAGGTAGGTCGGTTAAAAAAAAAAAGAAATTTATGATACAGATTAAAATGATTTTATCTTTTAAAAATGATTTATTATACTCAC